GAATAATGTATATAGAATGATGTAAAATAATAAAAAAATCAAACTAACTTTACCTTTCTTTGTGACACTTTTTTTGTGACACCCTGTATATAACAAAATATTTTAGGATACACCCCTTTATAAACCTTGAAACATATGAATAAATTTTCTTTCACATCTTCGACAACGACGACGATATTGAACTTCCTCGCACTAATGGGCCACCCTGTATATTTACGGTGGTTTAAAGCTAGGTGTGGCACTTTTCTTCCCTCAAATATAAACTCAATATTTTGTCTATAATATTTTGAATATTGTTATATTACGACCACTTATAATAAAAAAACATAAAAAATAGAGTCCACTAAATTTATAAGAGATTATGCTATTATAAAATTCTTTCAATTAAAAAATATGAATAATTTGCGGAGACTTTAGATGTACAAAATATTTACTCTAAAATTGTTTCAAAAACCAATTTATATAAATTATCTCGTAAATTATTATTGGAATGAAAATTTTATGGAAAATCCCTGACCAAAAAAATATTTTCATGCGCATATTTCAGACAACCTGTATATCTAAAAACTATTTTTAAAATCTGCACACATGCTAAAAAAAATAATAACATTTAATTAATTACATAATATCTCAGCTTCTAAAATAAACAAATATAATTAAATGTTAATTGATAATTACTATCAGCTTGCCGATTTACATCCGATGGAAATCTAAAAAGACTCAAAGAACAATTTTTTGAATTATTTCCACAATTAATAGCAGCGCACAGTAAGGCACTCATTTTTTGCCAATCCGTCCCTGTGCTCGGACGCAACGCTCGAACCTCACAGCTCGACGGACCGAATTCAACTGAAAGGCTTTGCAACCAGCCAGCTTGCAAAAACTGGCAGAAAATATTTGCGAGAGTGCAACTACTCTTTTCCTTAAACTATGCTAAAATTCTTATTCGAATCGCTAAAAGCATTTGGAAAAAAATATAATAAATTGAAAAAATATGAAGATATGATCTATTTTTTTTTATTTATTAACACTTTTTAGGAACTAATAGAGCTTACTTACTTCCTGACGAGTATTTGACACGCATCAGGAGGTGGATACGCAAGGCGTTTTCTTTCATGAGCTTCTTTTCTGTGACTAGAAAGCTTCTAGTCACTGAGCCTTCTGATCCGATATTGGCTTTTTCCGAAATCAGACTGCTAAGGTAACCGAATTCTGCTACATATTCCAATTGTTCTTCTCCGATTTTTATAGTATCGTTGTGATTTTCCGGGGGAGTGCACATGATTTTATTTTTGTCGATGTTTAGCTTAAGGCCCAAAACCTCGTATATGTGTTCAGCATTTCTTGTAATTGCTGTTACGTTTTTGAAACTAGAGCGCAATCATCAGCGTACTGAACTAGCCATTCCTCTTTTTTTCCTAGAGTTTGCTGTCCACTATAATAGAAAGCGCTGCCATGAATATGTTGAATAGGAGAGGCGCTAAGACACATCCCTGCCTAACTCTTGTATTTGAAAGGAAGGAATCGTTCAGTGATTCATGATGGTGACACTTTCCACTTGTTTTTGTTAGCGAGGAAAATATAATGAAATGTTGGGGCTCTTCAAAGCCCATCCACATACCAAATTTCAGCCCTCTAGCTTAAATAGGGACCGAGTTACGACGCTTCAAAGATCCATCTCAACTTCCTCATTGGCTAACCAATATTTCGATCGTTACAATTTTTCGTAACGCTAGCTCGTGTGTCACGGCCTTCAATTTTTTATATTTTTTTTATATAACAAACAGTACTTCATTGAATTATTGAATATTTAATGGAATAATAGCTATGTTTCGATTTAATTCTCTTCAAATATCCAATTTTAAAACAAGAACTCCATTAAAAGCAATATTGACGCAAACGAGGGAAATTTTAGAGCAAATTCAGTAAACTACAGGTTATAACGTTTTAATGATTGCCAATGCACACAGGCCACGTACCTACAGAAATTAATTTTTCACAAACACCTACGTATTTAGTTAGATCTCTTTCTTTTTGCTCACAGTTATTAATTAATTTAATTACTTTTTCTAATATTTTACGTGCAAAAAATGTGATATAGAAGTATATGGAGAGAGAGAGAGACAGAATAACTTATTGGAAAGGTCTGCTATTATTTGTCGATTTTCTCTTATCCGTGGGCAAATGTAATTAAAAAATCAGTTTTTAAAGAGGTGTTTTTTACTACATAAATATACGAAAGAAAACTAAGTGTGAACAAAATAGTACAATACCAAACAACAATAATTATTGCAATAGTTGACAATGTGTTACAGAATTTTTGGATCAGGGATTGGTGCCGATCAATGACTAAAGCTAAAGAATACGGACACGAAACGCTCATATACGTGCTGTAGCAAAATTTGTGATGTTATACGCCATTTTTTTGGAAACAATAGATGTGTCATCAGCGACAATTTTAGCGATTACTATAATACTCTGTTGTGTGTAGTGATCTTTGTATAAACTTTGTTAATATGGCGATTTATTCAGCTTTCAATTCAAGTGTAAAAGCCGCAACGATAAAACAGAACCAGGAGTTTAGAATTTTTAGAATGAGTGGGAAGGGGGTTAATCACTTCGACCTTACAGATCCATTGTGTCCCCCTTTCTTGAATCATAACTCATCATACAGTCCCAGGGCTTTGACAAAAGCCAGGAGTTACGTTTAGGAGATAAATAAACAGTTCACTCCACCTTTTTAGCGTTTTATTATTGAATTTCATAGTTATTTTTCTGATATTATAATAATAATAATATAAGATCATGATGGACTCAGCAAAGAAACAGAAGAAGAATCTATGCATGTCGTGGCTTGACTACAAAAAAGCTTTTGACAGCTTACCACACACCTGGATAATCGAAATTCTGCAAACATATAAAATAATTTCAGAAATCATAGCATTTATAAAGTCATCTATGGGGAAATGGAAAACAAATATAAAACTTTATTACTCTGAAGGAGAACTCGATGTTAATAACATTGCAATCAAGAGGGGAATTTTTCAGGGAGACTGCCTATCACCTTTGTTATTCTGCGTAGCTCTCACACCCCTTACTAACTTACTGAAAAAGAAAAACCTTGGGTATCAAATAGATTGCAATGTTAAGATCAAACCAAACCACCTATTATATCTAGATGACTTGAAACTATTTACAAAAACAGTAAAGGAAATGGAACAAATGCTCAAAATTGTCAAAACATTCAGCCAAGACATCAATATGGAGTTTGGTTTAGACAAGTGCGCCACAGCTACATTCATGAAGGGGAAGTTGACAAAAAGTAAGAACATAAAAGTAGAATCGAACATAGAACTTGAAATAAGAAATTTGGATCCAGAGGAAACTTACAAACAATAGGCTTAGAAGAAGGAGACGGAATCGACAACAAGAGTATGAAAAATAAATTAAGGAAAGGATATTATAGGAGAATCAGAAAAGTGCTTGACACAGAATTATGTGCAAAAAACAAAATAAAATCTATAAACACTATAACAATTCCAGTAATGACTTACAGTTTTGGTTTAGTGGAATGGCCAAAAGAATAGATAAAGAAAATTGACAGAAAGACTAGAAAACTACTTACCTCAGGGAAAATTCACCACCCAAAAGACAATGTTGATAGGATCTATATGAGAAGACTAGATGGAGGAAGAGGTTTGCTAGAGCTTGAGGAACTTGCACTTGAAACTGCAATCATGGGACTGAGTGAGTACATAAGAGAGGAAAGAGATGAATTAGTAAAGATTATCAAGAAGCAAGATGAAGCAAGAGCAAAATACTCAATTACGAAGGAAGCAGCACGAATCAGAATGAAATATGACACAAATGAAGAAACATCCAGGAACATGAAACTGAAAATAAGAGAAGAAATAGAAAAGCGAAGAATAGAAAGATTAACAGAAAAACCCCTATACGGACAATTTATGAGACATTTAGATAATCAAAATCAAATCAAATCAAATCAAAATATTTATTTATCAGTATTAAATGTTATACATTTTAATATACAAATGTAATATATATATAAATACCGACAAAAAGGAATACACCGCGATTTTTAGAACCGATGCACAAGGCACATTTTCCAATGGCCTGTGAGGTGTATCCTGACATAATTTAAATCATAAAATATATACTTGGGATATATTAATATAATATATAACGAATCTTAATATAACAACAAACAATACCCAACTAAATAATAAGAAAATACCTAACAATATGAAATTATAATTTTAACTACAAGTAAAATATTAAATATAATACATATAATAAAAAAAAATAATCAGTTATAATTTAAACTAAGGAAAAGATGCAACTGAGCGGGCAGGCGCAGAAGGGGGAAAAAAGACAAGAAGACGGGAATCAAAAACGAACAGACGCATGCGGGAAGTCGCCCATGTGTAATAAATTTATCTTGACGGTCGGTCATACAATAGTTGTCCCATTTGAGTTGCTACATATCTGTTATTTGTTTATCTAATAGCTGACCTTTGACATACCTGTTAAACTGGCGCAGAGAATTTTCTTTAACAAATGTAGGACGATTATTCCACAAGTTAACAGCTACATAACTAAAAGATTTTTGAAAATTTGCAGTTTTATGTAAGGGAATTCTAAAATTACCTGCGCTGCGTGTCGGATAATCGTGAGACTGTGGGTATAGATAAGAACTTCGTCAATAAAAAGAGTAGCATACAATGGTTAAATGGTGCAGGATTGAAAGGAGAGACAGAAAGCCTAATAATGGCTGCATAAAATCAAGTCCTAAGTACAAGATATAGACAAAAAAGATCTTCAAACAAAATGTGGATAGTAGATGTAGATTATGTCGTGGGTCAGAGGAACACGTTAGTCATATCATCGCTGGCTGTACAAACTTGGCCGCCACTGAGTACACTCATGGGCATAATAAAGCAGCTGGCTATATACATTGGAACATCTGCAAAGCATTCGGAATGGAAGTTTGTGCGAAATACTACGAGCATATTTCTGAAACCATTACAAACATCAAAAACAAAGACAATGAAGTAACAGTAATGTGGGATTTGCCCAACATAACAGATCGACAAATAAATGCGAATAGACCAGACATCGTGGTACATAACAAAAAGAATAAAACTTGCCAACTTATAGATATATCAGTACCAGACGATTCCAACGTACAATTAAAAGAAAACGAGAAGATAATGAAATATAAGAACCTAGAAATAGAAATCAGCAGAATGTGGAATGCAAAGTCTTGTACTATACCGGTTATTGTGGGCGCCTTGGGAACCATATCCAAAGGAGCAGAACTACGTCTGAACCGCATCCCAGGAAAATCATCTATCCAAGAAGCCCAAAAGATTACGTTGCTCAGCACGTCTCACATCCTTCGCAAAGTGTTGAACTAAGTTGCTTTGATCCCAGGCCGGGAACTGGACTTAGTCAATAATTACCGAAGAACTTCAAACGCCATCTCCGTGGAATATGTTAAATAATAATAACGTTTATTAAAATATCATTATATTTTCTTTTGTATTAACTAGATATAAAATAGTATAATATAACATAATATACGATAATGTACCTAATAACACATTATATTAGTACACTTTAACTAAAATTGAATTTAAATTTTAAAAATCAAAATAAACGCTAGAAGAATTACCACAAAGTATAATAGAATAACTTGTATGTGGAAAGGAATATAATTTAATTATGGCAATATATAACGTTCACTGGCATTTGTGAATAATTATTTTGTATATTTTAAGTTAACTATGTCATCAAACATATCCCCACCAACAATGCCCATAAAATGTCTTTACAATTTCCCACAATATCACTCAATTGCACTAGGGTGAGCCATAAAAACTAACCTATTGAATTTATGGGTTATAATTAACTTAAAAACCGAGAAAAAAATATCCCCGGAAGACAGGATTTTTAACTCAATTTAAAAAGGTGTCGGTGAACAATCAAAGTTTTCCGTTTAAATAACACATAAAAAAAACTTCTTCCATTAAAGTACCATAACTTTGAAAGGGTTTACGATAGAAAAATTTACATCGCGGATTTTTGTAGATCATACCATTTCTTAAAAAGTCTATACCAGGTTCCAACCCTCAACTGTAATGTTCAATTTTGTCATTAGTATCTCTCTCGAATATCTCCATCATTATCTTAAAGTTTTAAACCATTTTGTACGTTGTAAGTATACGTTAAAATTCACACCACAGATTTAGAGCCATCAGCTACAACCAGATCTATTTGTTTTATCTACAATTGACGGCATTAGCCGATAGAAACCAACACCACAGCTTAAACATTGTTTTCAATGACGTCCATCCACAATCAGACAAAACACCAATTTCCCAATCAAATTCCCTCTTGTTTACAGACAAAACCAGACGGTCAGTGTTACGAACACCATGTTATTAACGTGTATAGCATTGAAAATTTGCCGAAAGGTTTGTTTTCCCGCTCGCAATTGATAAGTTGGCCGTGCAAAATCAGAAATTCATTGAATTTTAACAGTTAGCGCCGCTGGCCAGCGACCGTGGGGGAAAAGTAGGGGTTGAAAGCGTTCCCAATAGAAACTAATGAGATAGTTAGGGGTGGTTTAATAGTGGCAGGGTGTCGTTATACTGTCATACTGGGATATAAAACAGAGAATATAGGTGTATAATTCAAATATGAGTTGTAATACCGCTATTATTTCCAGAATAATAGCAATGAAATTTAATTTTTAATATAACCTTATCTTATGGGGACATAGAAAATAACATTATAGGAAGGTTGTCTTTTATTATTTGAGAAGCAGAAAAGCACAATAGATAACTTTTAAATACTATTGTTTCTCAAAGTATTCCCCACGGAGAGACATGCATTTTTGCATCCGTATTGAACCAATTCTGAAAGCAGTTATACCACTCGTTTGTTGGTGCCTTCAAGATTGTAAAAAGTAAAGATTTCAGTTAACGCTGCCAGGGCTAATTTGGACGGGACCTACTTTGTTTACGCGGAATCTGAACCAAGGTCCTCGGCCATATCATGGTCAATGGTCTTGGCAAGTGTCTAAATCGACTCTTACTCACGAGATATCCGATCTCATCCGGCCTCGAACCATGAATGGGCAGTGTGTGTCAATAGATTTTACACTTTTGTCTTTTTTTTTGGACAACAGCACAATACAGAATTTCGAACCGGTCACCCGTCCATCCACTAGTATCGCCTTACGTCGCTTAACTTCGGTGTTCTAATGGGAACCGGTGTTTTGACGTAGCTAGGCCGTTGCCATTCAAGATTGTGTTTTTGAAGCCGCTGACTCCATATTCTGGAGGCTGGAATATTTGACCACGCAGTTCAGTCTTAATTTTTAGAAAAGTAAAAAAGTCGTTAGGACTCAGGTCGGGACTGTATGGAGGATGGTTCAACAATTCGACGGTTTCATTCAAAAATCTCATTACTTTTTGTTTGTCCCACTTGTTTTGCTTTCTCCCACTCATTCTGCATGCTAATTCCCTTTAAGTTTTCATGGAAAATATCCTTGTACCTTTTGAGTTGACAACCCGGTTTCCTCTTACCGTCTACAAGCTCACTGTAAAGAAGAGATTTTGGTAAGCGGTTTTCTTGCATCCTGCATACGTGCCCAGTTCAACTTAAGCGGGATTTAATAATCATGGCTACAGCTTTCAACTTTTTCAAGGACAGATACGTTTCCTTCCTTGATCACTTTATAGCTATCTTTTTTTTCTGCATTCCCGCAATATTGTCTATTCTTTTTTTATAATGGTATATCTGAAAAAAATAAGCCATAATGTTATTCTGAAATTAAAAGTCCATATTTTGATCTCATAAAAATTGATCATAAAACAAATTTTCTGTCCTGTAAAATATAAAAAGTCTAACTAAAGGGGATAAAAAAATTACGAAATAAAAGTCAAATATTGAAATAAATCTTTAATACGCTACATACCCTCCACATAATTCACATAATATGTGTCTCATATTGTTCTAAAGACACTAAATTATGTTTCCACCGGGACCAAAAAAAAACGGTAGGGATTTTAACGTTAGAACACTCAATAACGCCATAAATAAGATAAATAGACTAATAAAAAACTCCGCAGGCTGCCTAATAAAATACAATCCGCGACACGTTTTTGGCTTCAAAAAAGGTATTGTTAAAGAGATACGAAATATATTCCCTGTGATGAAAAACGATAAATAAGTGAAGATGTTGGAGATATAAAAATGGGCGAACAGCAAAAAATTTCGAAAAATGGTGATATAAATTGACAAAATATAATTCATTATCACGATGTCTCGTACTTTGTTAGATGTGAAAGAAGCCATATGCTTTTGAAGTTCTGTATGAATTATCATACAAAGTATAACGCTATATTTATTTGTAAAATGTGTCAAAAATATGGCTTGTTTTCTTTATTGGTTTTTATTTATTATGATGTAGGTATATCAGAAAAAAATGAGCAATACTAACAATGTATTCTTATGAAAATAAATAATGTATTTATGATAACTTGCTCTGTACCTCCGTTGTTTGAGATTATACCGTATGATCGAATAAAAACGGCGTCAGCGATGGCTATGAAATGAAGATCGCTGTCATTTTATATGTAAAATTATATTGGAAATGTCATCGATTGTCATTTCCAAGCCAACTGGACGCCATTTTTTTTCGATCATACTGTACTACCTTAGTAAGTAAAATTATTTACCTCCTCTATAGGTATTGTTCCAATGATAAAGGGAGCGACATTTTTGGCACAACCTCTTACCGATTTAGTTTTTTTAATATTGATATTAAAACCTGCAATTCGAGCTTAATTTGTTAAGTCATGTAGTTTTGATGACATATCCGCGTGGCTATAAGAAAGGAGGCAGATGTCATCTGCATAAATGAGATCTTGTAACATGCTAAAAGGAGTTCACCATATTCCACGATGATTCTGGAACAAATGATTCTGGATGATACTGGAACAAAGAAAACCAACACAGGTTTGTCGAAACAAAGACGCAATATCCACAGAAAGTAAATGTTTGGGCAAGTATATTCGGATACAATATTATCGGGCATTATTTCTTAGGCGAAATTCAAATGCAGAATATTATTTGGAACTACTCGAAAATCATATTTTACTTGCTTTACATGATGCCGCTAGGGAAAATCAGAAAGTTTGGTACCAAATGGATCGCTGACCGGCACATAGTATCCTGGCTGTTCGGGAATATTTAGACAATAGTTTTAACGGAAACGTTATTGGCCTAAATCATACAGTAAATTGGCCAGCAAGGTCTCCTGATATTTCGCCAAATGATTTCTTTCTCTGGGGCCATTTAAAAAATAGGATATACAAGGATAAAAAATACCCAAATCTAGACGAGTTAAAAAATGGTATTTCTGCCGAATGCAATTGAATTTCAGTTTACCAACTAGCGAATGTAAGAAGAGAATTTTATGATCGCCTGGGTTATTGTCTAGCAGTCGATGGAGGAATATTTGAACATCTTAAATCCTAAAGTTCTAACAATTTAATAGTACCTAAATTAATAAGTTATTGAATATTGTAATAATACTATAATTAACCTTGTAATTGATTACTTTATTTTACTTTAATTCATATTAATTTGTATTTATAAATGCATTTTTAAGATTTCCGATGTAGGAATGAGTTTTCAATAATAATAAAGCACTAAATAGGTATATTTCTGAAATGACAACTTCATTTGACAGTTATCTTTTACCTTGACTGGTGCTCATAAGTAAATAAAGGACCATAAGAAAGGAGAAATATTTAAAAAGAAATCGGCGATTACTCGTAAACGAGCTAATCAAAAATATCTAAAGTTATTCTTTTGAATGTGGGTTTTAGTGCTCTTCAATAAACCTCCCTACAATAATTAGGGAAGTCAATAATTGACCCCATTAAAATTTACATGGGATTTCCTATGTCCCGTCCGACGATGCAACACCCAGTATAGTCAATAATGTAATGCCTCTCTAATTTTGACATTCCGAGAGGCAACTTTTCTTTGGGATTTTAGTTCCAGTCCAGTCCAATCCTTAATAATATCCTCAGAAGTTCATGAAGACTCTAAATGAGAATGAAGCAAGTCAGTGAGTATGTTTATATCAATTTGGAATATTTTACCTTCAGAAATATTCCAAATTGATAAAATTTACATGGGATTTCCTATGTCCCGTCCGACGATGCAACACCCAGTATAGTCAATAATGTAATGCCTCTCTAATTTTGACATTCCGAGAGGCAACTTTTCTTTGGCATCTTAGTTCCAGTCCAGTCCAATCCTTAATAATATCCTCAGAGGTTCATGAAGACTCTAAATGAGAATGAAGCAAGTCAGTGAGTATGTTTATATCAATTTG